TTACACAGCCACACACTTTGTGCACAGAATTTGTTAGCACGTGTCCCATTTCACTAAAAACAAATATTGCGTTACTATAGCTGTGTTTTCCTCCACAGAGGTATTACTGTCAACAGATACATTAATAATTACTTATATGGATTCAAAGCTGTATCTTTTATAAGATTCTGTTTGCTTATTCCATGCTTTATTTACTTTCTTCGTCTACTTTCTGACCCTCACTTTTACAACTAAAGATGTTTCAACAATGAGAAATTAGTAAACAGTTTTATAACTGTAAGTTTCCATCTGGATTTTTCCATCCGTTGTTTATGCCTTCAGATTCTACACTAAGATCATGAATGTTTGCAGGGATTTATTTGCAGCTTGTGCAGGTCAGTTCTGTCATTCATGTATTTAGGAGATGACAGTGGTGTCATTAGATAACGGCGCAGATATGGGTGAAATTCAACGTTTGGAGCTCAAGTCGCATTTTGTCTCCTCTGCCAAAGTGTCAAACTCTGCAGGGTGACATGTCGCCTACCCTCGATCCAGTAAACAAACCACTGGGTCTGTGGGCCCATGTGACTTTTGTATACAAACCTTGGTTTGATTGCTATTGGGCACTGGAAAACCAAAATAACCAAATACACAAAAAAGTCATCTTTTCCACTCAGGCTCGGAGCAAAGAATAGCAGCTCTGAAGAATAACAGCTGCAGAGGGCAGAGCATAGTGATGCATGCGTGTCACACCGGACGCTTATGTAAATCCAGCCTCTCATTTCAGATAAAACAAAAAAAAAAGAACCAAACAAACAACAACTGTGGGATGTTTTGGCAACAAGTTGTGTAAAAGTGGAGGCGAATGTCAGATCGACATCAGCGTGGAGTCATGATTGGATGTAAACAGTCGTAAGACTTTTTTTTTTTTTTATCTCCGAGTTCAGCGCAAGTTGAAACCTGAAAAAAGCCACCATTCAGAAAGTTTACATACCCACAGCCTCCCACTCGCCACGCTCAGCGTGTAGTCAAGTGTTTTCAGCTGGATTTTATTGGGAGAACACGGTGTGGCGATTTGACCCTTCGCTTACCTCACATGTCCCGCCTCCTGCCTGTCATAAAGCCTGACTTCCCAGAGCCCGTGGAGGATTTGGTTGTGGTATTGTGGCTGACATGAAAACATGAGGGACTGCTCACAGCAGCAGTTTGAGTAGAAAATCAGTGTCAGTCCTGCCGCTCTGACCGACATGTCTTTCCCACGTTTCAAAAAAAGGGAAAGAAATGCTTCAGAAGCACAAAGGCTGCGACAGCTGAGGGCTTTTAGAGGTTTTCTGTCATATGACAAAATTATGTCATTCTATTAATGCTAAATCTTCACAATCTCTCCTCACTCTTCCTGCCTCCTATCTCTTCTCTGCTTCATTTGCTCAAGTGTCTGAAATCTTTCCACGGCTGTTTTGGTTGATTTTGGTCACCAGCTTTGAAGTTATTTATAATCTGTGGCGCCGAGCCTGGAGCTCCAAAAAAGCGTCTTACAAATGTCGCCACATTGGAGGTCTGAGTAGTGGCGGATGATTGCTCAACTAGCATTTTTATGCCTCTATTCCAAGGAAGAAACATTTGCGGGGGGGAATATGTTTTTTCAATCAGAAACGGGAAAGAAATGAAGCAGCCGGCTGAAAATAGAGCCGCTCTTCTATTATAGTGTTACATTCAGAAATATAGCTGCAGGGAAAAAGCTTCACTGCCACAGTTTAATATCCGCATCCAGGAATCGCTTCCACAGATTTTCCCCCCTCCCCCACTCTGCCACGCTTCCACTTCCCAACATTTAAATAATTGTGTTCATTCTTAATTATTTGAACCCCCTTTTAGTGCTTTGGTAGCTCATGTAAAAGTGGCGTTTGAGTAAAGCCAGCTGGAGTCAACACAGGGGGAAAAAAGTCCACTGCAGCACCATCTCTGAATCATCTGCTCTCTTCAAATAGTTTTTTTTCTTTCCTTTCTAACCACATTTGTCTAAATGTGTGGCTCATGCATAATCATTCTAAATCTTTAGCCAGCACTAGGATGTTCTTTTAAATATCAGACACTGCAAAGGGTTAAAGAAAAAAGCTCCTCTCTTCTGCGTGTCGTAAATCGAGTATGACATGTTCCTGGCTCGATGGTGACACTTGGTGGTGACTTGGCATCACTACGGAGAGACAAGATGCTTCTTGTCGTCGAAATTCGAAGTCGAATGTGAAGAATTAAGCGCGTTGTTAAAGGTGTAGAAGAACCGGTGATATGTTCAGGTTTAATGGGGAAAAGCATTTGAATATATTGTCCACTGTGTATGGGATAATCCTACTTATCTCAGTGGGAATCATTCCAGGCTCTCTGCTGCTCTCTGGATAAAGGATGAGAGGCAGAGTGTGCAGCACATGTGACTCTGCAGCCAGCGGCCTCTAGAGTCCAACAGCAAACACTAAAGCTGGAGGGGTTTGACCTGAGTGGGATTTAAACACTGAGACAAAAACGTCTCCCCGTGCTTTGCTGCTTTTTCCCAAAACCTTTTTTTTATGATCTTGAACATACTTGAATTAGATATTTTCATCGCCTAAAAGAGCTATAAGTGCATATCTTTGTATATTCAGTCCTACCAGAGGTCCTGTCATGTTTAGCACAACACTGGACATCAAAACCTCAATTATTGAATTTAAATAAAATTTTATCTTGATTTTATTTGCTTGTAGGCGGAGCTCTCTAAAGCTTCTGTCTCACCTTCAGATTTAGATATTTAGAATTCAGTGACGCTGATTCATTTTTATCTAGCCGAAGGACCGATGCATCTGTCCGTCCAATGAAAGAGTCGCTACTCCTCTCAGGATATTGGTCCAATTTTAGTGAAGTGAGATACATTTGACTTTGATGTCACTGTTAGTGTAAAGCTGCTTCTCAAAAATCATTTGTCATTGTCACTGGATTTGAACTTTCATTAGTTTGTGCAAAACAGCCCAGAAGGCAAGAAAAGATCCCCACCCTCGTACAGGCACATTACAATAACCTGTGAACTGTGATGGATCATGATGAAGTAACACGTCACTGACATATTGTAAAAATTAGTATTTTTAGATGCATCTGTTTCTTGTTTAGTTATTAAAGTGAAGATCATACATAGACTTGGAGAGGCTGTTACCTTTTTGCATGCAGAGTGGTCAGAAATCACCCACAGGCAGAGCTGATAGCAGCGTCGGTGTCAATAAAATCTTATCCATGTCCATCCCCGGGGCTGTTTATTTTTCATCCCATAAAAACAATAAATTATTAAAATATTCTGAGTTCAGAAAGTTTGATCTACACTATAAGTCAAAGTTTGCAGAAGTCAGTGCAGTTCAGATGGATAAAAGCTGAATATAAGACAAAACAAACGATAAAGGATGACACAAGGGTTAAAACATAACCAAAAATATACAATAATAAGCTCTTTAAAATAAATTCAAAGGACATAACATCAAATAAATGACAGTGAAATATCAGCTCTACAAGTAGAAAAGAAGTAGAGTGAAATAAATTGAGAACAATCAGAGCGTACTGGAAATAATAAACTAAAAACACATCAATAAATAAAATAAATATATAAGGATAATAAAAACATAAAATAAAATAAAAGGTACCATCATCCAAAATGTCAGTAAATAAATATAAAGCAATAAAAAACGCTGGTTAAAAACTGTTTAAAGTTGAAAAGTCTGTCTCCTGGTGTTTCATAGGGCAGACATGTCAGGCTGTATTCAGAGTGTAGTCATGTTTGTACATCAGCTAAAACTAATAAATTCACTGTGACCATCGAGAACAAATGTAAGTGTGTAAATGAATCTAAATGTAATTACATTGTTACTCCTTTAAATATAATACAATTTAACAGAGTGTTTTTCCAGTGTCCTGATTGGTGGGGATTGTTTCATGTCGTCATCTTCAGTTCGCATCTCTGTGGCGTGCGACCGTCCTCGGTCAGGGCAGATGGGCTCTAATCTGCAGATAAAACTAGATGCTGATGATTGGACAGCTAAAGGAGTAATTAAGCTGCTGATTTTGGACTGTAGTGCAGATTATTGTTCACTGGAGAGACAATTAACAAGCGCTCGTATTCTTTCTCTCTGCTCCCTTCTTGCCTCTTTTTTAGTTTATTCACACAACAAGTGTCACATATTGCCAACAAAAAAATTTAATTAAACTGGCAAAAGTAACACATGAACAATTAACGAATGGCACCATAAAAATGTTGCACTGGCAGGGATTTTAATAACCGATAACAAATTAAGAGGCAGTATGATTTTTAGTTATGTAATAAGATCTAATATAAATATCTGAGACACAAAAAAGGAAGTTCAGAGAAAAAGCATCTCTGAAGAACTCAAATAATCTGCTTCATCTGGAAGTTTACATTGTGATAAACGCTACCATGAAAACATCATCAGTGCTCATGTCATGTTTGTGTATCTGTGTCCTGTCCACACTTTAACGTGGCGAGAACAGCCTGCAGGCTAATGTCACAGTCCGCTGTCAGTAGCTGTTTAATGATCCTGGTGCTGTGACTCATCTTAATCTCAGTGTGCGACCCTCTGTTTTATATGTTACACACAAAAAAAGTGATTTTCATGTCAGTTTTCCGGGTGGCACGAGCAAATTTACATGTGAGAAAGAGTTCTGATGGCAAATGTTGTACTTTAATTCTCATGAGCTTTTTATTTCCAGTATGATGATTAAGACAATTTTTAAGGGATGCCAGAATATAGCTGACATCAATGAAACTTGATTTATTTTGTAAGGAACCGTGTGGATTCATGTATATTATATATAACATGTTCCTGCAACTAGAAGCTCACTAACTCACTAATCTGTCCAGGTACTCCACTTCTCATCCTGTAGAAACTGTGATGGGCTTCAGCTGATAACTGGAAGATTGATTATAGATGGGTATCTTAGCTGACAAGCTAATCATTTGATCTGAGATAACCAACATTTTCTTTTGCTTCCAGGTGGTCAGGCAGTGCCTCAGGACCCGTCACCCCCTTCTACCTGCCCTCCGGCCCCCCCTGGACCTCCAGCCGGCACCAACGGCAACAGCGACATCATGGTGAACTTTGACCCTGACCCGGCGGACCTAGCGTTGTCCAGCGTGCCAGGCCAGGAGGCATTTGACCCACGGCGGCACCGCTTCACGGAGGACGAGCTGAAACCTCAGCCGATGATCAAGAAGGCCCGCAAGATGCTGGTTCCTGACGAGCAGAAGGTACTACATCTCCCACAATCCTTTTGTTTCCTTTACGTCCAAATTCACTACAGGAAAGGATTTTTAAAGCTATTTGGGGAAAGAAAATGCTCCGCTGCTTGCTGTGTTTCTAATTTAATGGCTAGTAAAATATATATATATCCATAATGGACCAGTTTCCCATTTTAAATTTAGTTGTAGAGTCTACTTTTTAAAAATCTACTTGCAATTTCAAAATTGTTTTTGCAGCACAAGAACGCAATTTTAATTGTATTCAAAAATAGAGTTTGGGATAAATTATTTTATAAGATGAAATGAGTAAAATCAAATTAAATACTTAAAATAAAATCAAATAAAAATTCAAAATAAGGCCCACTAGTAAATCTCAGGTGTTGTAAAGGTACCTAAAGATAAAACCTGCATAAAGATTCATATATAGCTCAGCAGAAGGTCACATTTTCCTTTAGTATCTGTCTTAAATAGAAGCCACAGCCACGTTGTTTCATTTTAAACTCTAAACTTCATCATAACAAAAGGCCACGGCTCTGACAGCTCCTGTGCGGAGTGGAAAAAAAACCGAAGGGAGCGTGACGCCCACTGGTATTGATGCCTCCTGACGGGAATCCTGAAATATTTTGTACTCAGCTCATTGCACACTAGGAAAGTCTCTGATCAATGGCTCGTGCTTTCATAGTTCAGTGCGGAGCAGCTGCAGCTCCCGAGGCGTTTATAATTTATGGAGAGATGGAGGCGCTCACCTTGCTCTGTTCTGCCGTTGCCGGTTTTATAAATCATATATAGGAAGGTTGGAAAAATGATCTCCGGCCAGAGTTAAAGATGAAGTTGAGAACGGCTTCTCATAAACGAGCTTTAATATTCCGCTCTACGGTTAAGATTTATCTGCTCTCATGAGCAGGAAAGTCTGGCTTGGATTAAAAGTTATGAAATAATCCAGGATCTAATTAGTGTTTATATTTACACAAATCAGAAAGCAGCAATATTCCCAAGATCTCTTTAAAAATGTTGCAGAGGGATACAATAATAGCTGTGTTTAATTGTGGAATGATGCTAACTTTAACCAGATGTTAAAGATCCTTATTAAAGCTCTCCATGAAGGCAGTGAAGCATGTGGGCTTGCTTCCCGGCATAAATCTTTCAGATAGATATCTCTACGAGGTTGTACTCTCAGATTGACCTCCTATTTTGCTCTATGGGTCCCAAAGTTTAACACAACATCAGGGATGCTTCCAGTCTTCTCCTTGCGAGACTTTCATTGGCCAACAAATTCCTTTCCTGGCAAAAAGTCCCCAAAGTAACGTTGCAGGCTTTTGTGGGGCCGGAGGTCATGTCCGCGGCGTATTTATTCATTCGGCTGAGGCGCTCGGCAGGTCAGAAGAGAGCTGCATTAGGAATGGCATGCCTCATAAAAAGTTATTGATAATGTTTTCACAAGCACTTACTGGTGTTTTCCGTCAAACTGATTCCTTTTGTAGTCATTGCAAGATGAATATTATTGGTCTTTTGTGTATGCAGATCAGTATATTGCTAGATGTCTATGCGTCTATGTGTGAAAAGGTGTTTTAATATAAGAAATTAAGAGTTAGAGTAGCTTATCTTACACCGTGACCTGCAGGCAATAAAAAGCACAGAAAAGCTGTTGTTGGTAATTCTAACTGCAGTTTAAAGGAGTATTTCATATATATATATATATAAACCACAGCTATCCTAAACTACTTTCTTCACTCTGTAAATCTGTTTAATGAATGTTCATCTTCTCTAAGCTGCCATAGCAAACATTTACTGCTGAGAAGCAGTAAATGCTAACCCCTGAAACATTTTAATTTATCTAGTGCAGCTACAAGCTTTAGGATAAGAAGTATAGCACTTTTTATGTGGTATACGTCACACCTGTGTTTGGGATGTTTTATGCTTTTGAATCCAACCACAGTCTGCTGCTCATAACTGAGTGTCATCATGGTGACGTTATAAAAATGGCAGTCATAGTTTTGTTCTTTTGTACCTGTGACTATTCAGCTGTTTCCACCTTTCGTTCCTTTCTCCCATTTTTGACACCCTCATCAAATGACTGAACCTTCTCATCCCACTCTCTCCTCTTCTTTTGTTTTTTTTTCTTCTTCTCTCCTCCCTCCACCTTCCTCCCCACACACCCCAACATACCACACCGCCGCCGCCGACAGGATGAGAAATACTGGAGCCGGCGAGTGAAAAACAACGAGGCGGCGAAGCGCTCGCGGGACGCCCGGCGACTGAAGGAGAACCAGATCTCAGTGCGCGCGGCCTTCCTGGAGCGAGAGAACGCCGCCCTTCGCCAGGAGGTGGCTGACATGAGGAAAGAGCTGGGCCGCTGCAGGAACATCATCAACAAGTACGAGAGCCGGCACGGAGACTTGTGAGGAGACGGACGGAGGCGGAAAAGGCGGGAGGGGCATCGGAGATGAGACAAGGGTACAAGGCAACCCAGCAACAGCAGCACTTTAGTTGAAGTGGCGAGTCGGGGGTGGGGGGAGGCTGACGTAGATCTGCAGTAAGCACCGTGCGACACCGGGCGCAAACGCCACAAGCGTCTTTTAGCGCGCGCGCTGTGCTTCAGGATGTCATGACAGGAAAGCACAGCGGCGCCACAGTTTATTTTCCGAGTTTGACTCTGTAGATGCTGCTTTGCTGAATCCACACACCGTACTGTATCACCACCTCGTGACACCTCGGCAGCTTTACCCTTGGTGCTGTGCTTACGCCCGGTGCCGCATGGCGTTTTTGCAGGTAGTGCGTTTCCATCCGCCGCTCTGGCCCGTTCAAACAGGGTGTTGAATTCACAATATGCCAGTGAAATCTCACTTTTTAAGCTCAAGGCATGGACACAAGCCAGAAGAGGTCAGATGTGTAATTTTTTGTTTTCTATAAATAGGAAAAAAAGAAAACATGTATATTTTTGAACTGGGCAGGAAAGCAAGACTAGTCCAGCAAAGAGGAGGACGGGGGGAGGAAGAAGAGCAGGGCTTTCGTCAATAACGCAAAGAGATTTTGACATAGGATTATTGTATATTTTTCTATTAGCAGAGGTATTTAGGAGGAGGATTTTGGAGATAATCTTTTGTATATTTTATATATGGGGCGGGAGGGGCTGTTAGCTGGACAGTCACGGGGCCACATAAAGCGCTTTTCCTCCCAGCTGTTTATTGCTAAACAACAAATAATCTATTTTCAAATTTACAGAGCTGGTTAGTCAGAGGAAGAGGTGTAACAGAGAATGTATCACGGTCGAATCAGGTATTTCACACAGCGTGAGACAAGGCGAGGTATTTTAGACTGTTTTCGGCGCTGAAGGGGGGAGGAGGAGGGTGGGCGGAGGCAGGAAGAAGGCAAAACAACAAAAAAAATTGTATAGTTTAAAGAAAATCTTTGTGTTTGTTTTCTCTGTGAGCTCGTTCAAGCACTTCAGTTTTTATCTTCTATTTGATTCCGTGTCTGATTCTGACATAAATCGAGGGGCTTTTATTTTTCTTTTTGAAGCTGAAGGAGGAAATAATAATTAGCCATCCGAACAGCTGGATGTGAGCAGATGTGCGAGGATAAGTAAAAGGAGAGATTTTCGCTGGCGGGTTTGCGTTTTATTTCGGTGAATGTGTCTTGCTCACATGTAAACGCACACACACTGACAAACACTTTTAACCATCGCGCAACATGATTGCTTTCGGTTTCTTTACTCATCAATCATGTCTAGGTGCAAAAATTGAATACTAACTGGTTTAAGGTTGATCTGCCCAGATCGAACAGTGACTGAAACCTTCAGCCACACACACACACACACACACACACACACACACACACACACACACACACACACACACACACACACACACA